AGTATAACGAAACGTCGATAATTGTTCTTTTTCCCTTTGTTCACGATTTGTCGAATTTGATTCAGTAGTTTTCCAAAAAAAAAACCATTTTAGAAAAATATAAAATATTCCAATCAACGTTTGCCCAGAAAAAGGGGACAAGTGTCAAACGAAACCAGGTCAGTAATCGACACCGATGCCATGCTCGATAGTATCGTTGGCATCGAATACTAAGTGTTCGGTTGGGTATCGTCTAGCACTAGTTTTACGTGTTAACTTCGAACTGGCGGCTAAATAGTCCAAATATATTTGTTGCCGTGATTGTGGCGATCGGCAGCCAGAGCCGGAGCCATAAACCAGAGCCAACCAATAGGCAACAAGAGCCGGGCAATGAACCGGGAAGTCTCATTGGGTACGTCTGCAACCAATGAAGCGACAATTTGAGCCAGCCATTACCTACTGCCATCACTATTATATATCCATAAAAATCCATAAAGTTCACTGTGCCATCCTTGTCCCCAGGTTTCGGCCGCGGCGCCGGCGGCAATTCCTCGCGGCTTGAAGAATAAAATGGCGGTTGTCTTTCTTCAGCATGCAAATGTCAAATGTAAAGAAATTTTTCCAGCAGTCAATTTGGTATATATTAAAGCCGAAATTCTCAACTTTTGCTTTAGTTGCTGGTTTGTCAGGTATGTTGTTATTTCTTGGTTATTGAATAGTTTACAAGTATAAAATCTGACTTAAATATTTGCATATTTGTTATTTGAATATTCATGAAGTTATGATATTATTTATCTGAAAAACCCCGCTAAATAGGTGAGAATGTTTTTATACCACAGAAAACGACTTTAATATTAGGTTTTGCCCGTTCAATTTTGTGGTGATAAATTGTAGCGTTACTTCTAAAGTCTAAACAACTTTACTTTATGCTTTATTATCTGGTATAAATAATTCGATTTTTTAAGTCACCTTTCATGTGTCTGAACTCTATATTACTTAGGGATGCTACAAGTTTGTTCAAAAGGAATATTCTTAAACCCAGCATACTAATTTAAACTAATGTACAGGTTAGAATGATGCCAAAATGTTCATTGCAGCATTTAGGAGCACAATGCATTCTGCATAGGTTAAGCAAATTTTTAAGTTTCAAGCTTGATTTGGTCAAGATGTTCACTTGTTACAAAAAGATTGCTCAGCTGTTCAGTTGGTTTATTCAGATGAAGTAGCTAAACATTTTTTGGAGGAGAACATGTTTTCGGATGGCGACTTAATTTGCTTTCAGTTAATTTATGTGGTTGATCAACCCCAAATAATTACCTGATTTTACCAAATAAGTTACCCTAGATTCTAGATTCTCATTATCTACATGGAAGAAGGGAGCTAAAGGATGTTCTTAAGAAATAAATAAATGTTTCAACACAAGATGCTGGTTTAAACTGATAGATTGAATAGAATACCAACTCACTGTATAGATGTATACTTGTTTTATAAATCAAAAGAGCACTAATTTTTGGGTGCATTAATTCTGCATGGTGTCCCTACTTTGTACGTTACATTCTTTTTTCCACCAGCTTTTTAAACCATTTTCTCTGTCATCACTACTTTTTACCACTATCTTGGAATTTGTGAAGTCTTCAAATAAAACTAATGATGGAAGGATTACAACCAACTGTTAACATTTGCGAGCTGGAACATAGGTTCCACATATCAGAAATTCAAAGGAAGACGTACCCAAAATGACTTATATAAATATTCAAATTTTGCCATGTGATTGCAGTTAATCCTGTCCTTGCCTATAAAAAAGTTACACATGAAGAGATTTTCAATTGTTCAGCTTTGTTGCATGCACTTGTGGTTGGTTTGTGCAGGAAATTGTTTGGTTAATAAGACACTACAGTATGATAAAACATTTTTTTAGGTCACCTGATTAAATGACTCTTAAATACAAAAAGCTACTGTAGTTAATGTTTACTTTGCAAATGCAGCCAAGCTGCAAAGTCCTGATATGATATACTGTATTTTCTCAAGGATAATATTGACATGTTCCCATTCATTAACTATCAATCCCATGTTTCCTCTTAGCTAGGCCTTTTCAGAAAATAATGGGCTCTAGTCAAGGTCTAGTCATAATGTTGGTTACCCATATGCACAATTTATGGCTGATTCAACAAGGGTTAGGGCATGGAAAATGTTAATCAGCAAACTCTTATTTTTCTGGAAAGTTCAATTGCTTAAACTGTGTGATATGCTTTCTTGTAAAAGGCCCAAGATCTGATTGTAATAGCACCTACATTTAATAATAAAATCATTGAAAAGCATTAATATTGTTAATCAGCAAAATTATTTCTCTGTTTTCTAGATTGACTGTTATACAACATGTTCATACCTCTACAGCAAAATTGGTAAGTTATAAATTTTCTTCTGTGTGCAAGACGAATTTTTGTATCAGTAGTATGCAGAAAGATGTAGATGTTTATCAGTTTATCTGTGTATTAAAACATTTTTTATGTTTTGTCTCATCATGTGTTAACTAAGTTTAACTAAGTTTAAGTTTAATATAGTTTATATAGTTTCATGGACACTTTTAAATTTAATACAGCATAGGCAATGTAGCTATTTGCCATTTAAGATGGAATAATATCTATTTTACTCCAAATGTCTTTTTTGCTGCGATTTTATGCAATTTTCTTGCAACTTGCAATGCAATTATAATTTTGAGGGATGTTAATTTTGTAAGGAGTGTTCGAAATGTTAAAAAAATGTTAGCAGATTCTAAGCAGATCCTAAGAAATTTTTGTAATTGACAACTTTAGATGCCTCAGTTTCCTTAAATTTCCTTACATTGCAAATATAAAGTGTTGGAAAGGAAAGTTAAATGTTCAGGCTTGCTTGTCCCTTCACAACAGTTCCTTAATTATAGCAGCTTATATTTAACAATTAGACAACGAGTCCGAGTTGTCTATGAGCGAATAGTGAACGAAGGCGAAGCCTGAGTTGACTATTCGCTCATAGACAACGAAGGCGAGTTGTCTAATTGTTTTAGTATACACCCTGTACCTAGATATATTAATTTCGAGAAAATAATCGATACACCGCAATTTTACACCGAAAAATAATTTAATTAATTCAATTTTATACGGTCGCGCGAGCGAATTTTTCCCAAACGTGCACTATCACGAATAGACGATGGTTGAGTAGCCAATCAGAATGTAGGATTTGTAATAGACAATAGTCAGGTGTATACTAATTTCGGATAGTAAACGGAGCCAGCAGACCTAATTGATCAAATTGATCAGACTGCAACACCGGCGGAGTGCTTTGTTACAGGAAGCATTTTGACGAAGTCCGTTAATTTACCTAAATCATACTAGAAAACATCGTTTTCAGTATCCCATGGTATTCCCAGGATATTAACCGATAAATGTTCAACTTCTGCTGTTGATATGTTACTTCTTGATCGTTATGTTCTGCAGTGTTTGGAAAGCATTCGCAAGTTAAATGATGGTCGGTTCCAAACAACAAACCTGTTGCTCGCTAATTTCAACCTATTCAATACCACACTCGTTCTCGAGGGGTTCCACGATCTGTGGTAACACCTCTTCACACGCTTTTGTATGTTGTTTCCTTCTGTACGAAGCCCGAATCCACCGTCTGTGATTATTTCTTTTGACATATCGTAAATTTTGATTGTTTGATCATCCGCCAAGGTAATTTATGCTGTATGATGGTATAGATACTTCAATCAGGATCCATCAAACAGAACTCACACTTTCGTTGTTTGTAATTAATGCGCCGATTTATCAGATCCTGATCTTTTGCAGTTCAGTCATCAATAACTCGCAAATGTTGCTGTTGCTTGAAGACATTCAGAATATTCTTTCATAAGTTCGGTCCTTCAACGGATTATGCGTGTGTCGTAGTCTACTCATACACAGGATGAATACTCACTCGCGATCGGTCCCTTCAATGAAGAAAACGAGGATTTGAACTTGTCAAATCGTTGTAAGTTTTTTGTTTTATGAACTGCATTTTCGAAAGCCCCACAAAATGTACGATTAATTCGTAACAACACCTTGAAGTTTATACAAAGGCAGTTTCGAGGTCGAAAAGAACAGCGTTTTTCTTAGAATCGAATTTGCGATGAATTTGTTGGCAATTGGCTGGTACATATACGTCTTCACATCCTCAGTCAGTTCTTATTTACTCGCTAAAGTCTACTTGATGACTCTCTTGTGCTATTTCTTTCAATCAATTTTTTTCTCAGTTATTTTACCCAAGTTTTTGAGATTCTGTAATTTGGCACTCAATGTTGTTAACTCCACACAAATTGTTTCTTTGCTAAGTCGTCCCCGTTTTGTAACTCCATGCATGATTTCTAGATCGAATTGGGCACCATGCAATAGAACTTTATACACAAAAAAAGAAAAATTCAAAAGAACACAAACAAAAATTAGGCAAATTAAAATCCTAGATGTACAGTGTACTACACAGGCTTTTCAAAAGTCATACTGTAGGTTCGATAAATGTTGTTCGTCAAAAGACCACCATGTTTTCACTGTGGAATGTTCCTACCTAAACTACTGTTCTTTTCACAAGTAGCTAATTCCTTTCACTTTTTTTATTAATTAGTATAGGTATTAACGAGATTTTTGCTCCAACAATTTGTGATTAAATAGGAATGATGTTTGAAAATTTTTCCAAAATTGGACGTGCCATTCGACACGGTAGCTATCGATCACCATGCAACATATACTATACACTGTTATACTTTAACTAAGTATTAGCTTTTTATCCTATTCGGATCGACTTAAAAGTATATAAAAGAATGAGCAACGCATGAGCAACTTTAAAATATAATTCAATAATGCAATATCGCGGCGAACGTAACTTAAGTACTCTGAGTATACTGCGGGTTTCATGAGGAGAAGTGAAAATCATGTTGCGACAGACCTCAGCAATCAGGGAGCAGCACTAAAACTTGGCAACATGGATCCCCGGAGAATACACAGTAGTATGTCTGAGCTCTCATCTTTTAAAAGGAGGTAATTTTGCTCCTTATGAATTACGAATAGTCTGCCTAGCAAAATTCTTGACTGATTCTGTTTTAGAAGACACGGTACAGTTTTAAAAAGTGCGACGGAGCCCTCATTGCTGCAACTGTAGGCTTAAAAGGTTAAATGACTTTTAAGCACAAAAATGCAAGCATATGCTCACTTTGCCCATAAAGCCAAGCACGTAGGCCTAGCTGAGTTTCTGACATGGGCATATTTATTTTTCCTATGGAAAAAAAATCGTTTAACACAATTCTTTGTTTCCTAGACTGACTGTGTCACAGTACATTCCTAGTACTGCAAATCATTTTGGTAAGTTATTTTTTTCTGTTTGTGTCTTTAACTTTTAGTTTATGTCTTTTTATAGTGATATACAGTAGGGATGATGTGTTAATGACATTAGATAATTTTCAATTTCAATGTCTCACTATGGTGGAATGTTTTTATGCTTAATAAACTTTTTTGTATCAATAGTGGGATAGTATATGTTCAGTATGGCAGGGTGTTTTTCATTCTTAGTTGACTATTTTGTATATCAGTAGAGGGATAGGATGTTCTTTAGGCAGGGTGGATCTTTCTCATTTTTTTTTACTTTATCTTTGCATCAGTTATGAGATGGGATTATTAGCGTTGAATGATTATTGATCAGAATTTATTGAAGTCCCCACAAGAGATTACCCATGTTTAGTACACACATTCACACAATGAGTCACAATGTGTGCAGTATGCAGTCCTATTGGGAGGACTTGTACAAGAAGTCTCACACTGTGGGGAGACTGCTAGCTCAGGTCTCTTAATGATTTGTGTCACCATAGTATTGCTGGCTGAAGTTGATCTTTTTCAAGTTTATCTTGTCATCGGTAGAATAATGGGATGTTTTTCCGGGTGGTATTAGTAGCTGGGGATGCATGTGATTTCTTCACTATATCTCTGTATATGGGGGGTGGCAGTTCAGCATGGTGGGTTGTCAAATCTTTGTCAATTTTATCTTCATATCAGTAATGGGATATGATGAAACGTTTCTCTTTCGTAATTGACTCGCTTTTGCAGCAGGATACAGTAGGGTGTTCATCATCCATTCTCAGTTGACCTTTTCATCAGTAGCTGAAAGGAATGTTTATCAGGGCGAGATTTGTTGACCCCATACTGTGAATACTAAGTTGGCTCTGATTTTTAGTACACATGTTTTTTGAAACCTTCTTTGAAACCTCGCAACTGACAATATTTTTGCATCAGTACTTCTTACATTAATGCGGTAGTGATATGTTCATCATGGTGGGACATTTAACTCTAAGTTAACAATATTTTGTATATATTTTGCATAGAGCTTAAAACAATTCTCTTTTCCTAGTTTGCAATTGACTGTTTCATGCACAGAATGTTCATACTTCCACTGCAAAGAGTTGATTGGTGGTGAGATTATTTTTTTGTATGCTTGTTGTTACTCTAGGATATTTTTCACTCTTAGTTCACTATATCATTCTATCAATATCTAGACAGCATGTTTACCAGATTGGAATATTTTCAATTTTTTGTGGTATCAGTAGTGGATATGATATTTTATATTTATCATGATGGGATGCTCTGTATGCATCAGTAGTAGGATGTTTATCGGGGCAGGATTAGTTGATTTGCAGTATCCAAGCATAATAATGAGTTGGCTGTAATTCTATTTAGTTATTGGGAGGGAATGTTTATTACAGTGGGTTGTTTTTCATTATTATTTGACTTTGTATCAACCGTGACGGCATGTTTTTAGAATGGAATGACTTTTATTTTTAGATGATTTACTGTAATGTTTGCATCAGCTGCAGTGGTAGGGGATGTTTACTAGGGTGGAACTGATTTGTTGACTGTATCTATGTATATTATGATTTGGCTCTAATTTTGTATCAGTGGAAAGGAATGTTTATCAAAATTCAAATTTCTTTAGTCCCCACAATGCAATTACGTAAGTTCACTAAACACGCAGTGTAAAAAATAGCATTGTGAGGACTTGTGCAAGAACTTTAACATTGTGGGGACTTACATACACTCAGGTCCCCATAAAGTCATTCCTACAAGGTTTCAACATATTTTTCAAAACAACAGCATAGGTGGCTTATTAGAGTGGGTTTTTCTCATCAATATAGTTTTATTAATGGCTATTTATTAATGGAGTAGCAGAGTGGCATTTTATACCAAGGTGGGATTTGTTGACAATATCCTGTATGCTGAGTTGGCTCCAGTTTTGAATTAGTGGTGGGATTTGTTTACTGTATGTATCTTGTATCTAGGGTAAGATGTTATTCATTCATAGGTGGCATTATCTTTGCATCAGTGATTTGAGGAGATGCTTATAAGCTAGGGTTAAATTTGCTGACAATCTGTATGTCTATACTACATTGGCTCTTATTTTGCATCATTAGCGGGAATGGACATTGATCAAGATAGATGAAATTTGTTCACTCGATAATATCTTTGTGTGTTTCCAATTTTTATCACAGGCGAAATGTAATTTGTTGACTACATAAAGCTCTTTGTATATTAATATAGTGAGTTGACTTCAACTGGGAAGTTTTCTATTAATAGTTGATGTTATAATTGTATTGGTAGTAGCTCAGGTTAAATATTCCATCAAGTATCATCATGTAAAAGTGTGTAAAGCAATGTGAGGACTTGTGCAAGAATTCTCACATTGAGGGGACTTACATTTTTAATGATTTGTGTCAGCATAGTATTGGTGGTTCAGTTTAATCTTTCCATCAAGAATAGAATGGAATTTTTATCAAGGGGAATGTTCTTCATGGGATTTGTTGACTTTCTGCATAATACATAATTCTAATTTTGTCTCACTAGTGGGAATTAAGAGATGTTCGTCAGGGGTGGGATGCTTTTCATTAATAGTTGACTTTATCTTTGAATCATAGCTGGAGCTGGGGATGTTTATCATTCTTAGTTCACTTTATCTCTGTATCAAAACATTTTTAATGTTTTGTCTCATCATAGTATCAGTGATGTGTTTAATTAAGTTTAAGTTTAATATAGTTTATATAGTTTTACGGAAACTTTTAAATTTAATACAGCATAGGCAATATATTTGCTATTTATGATTGAATAATATCTATTTTACTCCTAAAGTCTTTTTTGCTGCGATATTTTTTTAGTATGGAACATGTGAGAAATCCCTTTGACGTACACTAACACATAAAAGACCACTATTAAGCAAACGTTGACGGAAAGATTTTTAATGATGCATTTGGTAAGTTTATTTTATTTTAATTAATAAACTCTACATTGTCACTGCTGTTACACTATGCAATTTTCTCGCAACTTTCAATGCAATTATAATTTTGAGGGATGTTTAATTTGTAAGAGTGTTCGAAATGTTAAAAAAACGTTAGCAGATCAAACGTCAGCGGATTTTATTTTCACTCTTCTTTCTTTCCCGGATTCTTGAACTTCAGCATGCGCTTTCTCTACAGTTGCAGTTTATATTGTCTTCAATCAAGACAGTTATACTTTTAGGTGCGATTGGTAACTCAATGATGGTATTAGGTCATCTTTTTTGGCTATACAGACTTTAGCTGCTCTAATCAAGGGATGGTATTAAACAACTCCAGTTTCACAAACTTTTAGGGCACATCGCGCGATTTGTCATCTTTTAGAATCACAACATCCCAAACGATCTGTTGGATACTTTTAACGGTTCTCTTAATCTGCTGATCTTTTTTCGCCATTGATTCATAAATTGATTTACTGTCGTTTGATGTGGTGGTAATAGTAGCTACCAATTTGTACGAACATATAGATTAGTGATGAGGGTGTTAACATGTTCGTCGTCGTACAAATAGGTTATAGGCGAAGTGACTTTATTCTTTTGTATTTGAGCAATTTGTTCCAGATGGTTGCAGACTTGCAGTTAAGAGATCTCGATTAACACAGTCCGCATTTCTTTAAACAATAGTCGTGTTCGTCCTTATAGTATTTTTCTAAGACAAATTTTCGTGCTACCAATCATGCTTTTCAAAAATCTCCTTGCCAGGGCGCTTTCTCGATTATGAAAGTCCATGTAATTCTCTTGTTCATCGAATACTGTTTTGGATCTCCTCCGACCTGACGATCCTTTTCACGTCTTGAGCAGTGGATTTGACAACGACAACAGTCTTGCATATTAGCAGCCGCGCTGCGGAAAATCTTGAAAAGCTTGCAAAAACGACTTGTATAGATAAATTAGGCACTAGCTCTAGGATCATGATCGTGTCAAAGAACAAGTCGAAAGACGGACGTGAGCCTTGGCTTTCTCTGATTCGGGTTGCCCTCGATTCGTAGCAAAAAGTGGTCCGGCGAAATCGACTCCTGTATTTGTGAATAGCGGAGTAGCTAACTCGTCAAGCTGGTGGGTAGGGGCAGTTTGGGGAGTATTGAAACACATCCGTTCTAATTTCTTGCACTTTCTCTTCGCCCTCTAACTATCTAATACTCTCATAAATTTTATTCAATTTCTCTGTGATTTCATTATGATAAACAACCCTATGATGATCGAAAATTACAAGATCCGTAAAGAGGTGTCTCGACGGAAGGAGTTTGGGCTGTTTCTCTGACAACGACAGAGACGATTTATCAATTTGACCACGAGAACGAATAACGTTGGCTGGGTTTCAAAACAACCCTAACTACTTGACCAACCGTAAGATATTCTTTGTTAAGATATCCCTCTTCCGCCACGTAAATGATCGATTTTATCCCAAGCATCAATGTTTAAACTGGTCCGCGGTAGGCTTCTGTGCTGTAGAAGGACACCTTATGTTGTAAATGAACTGCACACACGGTGTCACTCATAATAACTTTGTCTTGCTGCTGTAGCATTAACGTCGATCAAATCTTAACAATGTCACTTCTTGTCAATGCTCTCATAATTGAATACGGATTTGATTTCATCATTGCAGGATTTGATTTCGTCATTGCAGCATTTGCCCCGACATCTGAACCCCTAAGATCTGTATGTCCTGACACTGATGGCGATGTTTTCGAGAGGTACTTTAGGAATTCTCCTCTAGTCCACAATAGTGATTGGCCTCCCCGTTTTCTTTGTGCGGGGCAAAATTTCCACCTCTCTGACGGCGAGCTTTCGTATTTCATTTACGGGTTCTGGACGTATACGAATCAGTGCATATGTAAATACGTTTCAGGAAACATCTGCATATACAAGTTAGCCTTCTGGACTGAGCTTATCAAACGAGCCAGAACGGTGGCCCCAAGGAGTTCAAGGGGGGGGGGGAGTTGATTAGCGTTTATTGGGCGTGACTCTGGTTTTTAAGGCTACCAAAGCGAGTTCGATTTTTCCATCTTACACAGTTTGTAAGTATCGATACATAGGGGTTTTTTGTTTGCGAGCGTCCGGTGATTTTGCAATCAAGAGATCATCCCAATTTGACCCGTCCATACATAAATCCTAAAAACATTTTTATCGGATAGTAAACGGAGCCAGCAGACCTAATTTAGTCCTGCAGATTGGTAGGAAAATTGTGGGTTTTTGGTTAAAAGCACAAAATTTTACATTTTTGCTAAACAAGACCTGTCAAAATAGATGCCATGTGGGCCCACTCATAAATTTCAATTGGGGACCATTTTTCGCATAAATTATAACTCTACATAAAAACGAAGGCTTAATCGAATTTTCACCATTTATGCTTTGTAAATGTGCGGATTCACATAATGATAGAGGAATGCTAGATATATAGTTAACACATTTAGTGTGGTTATTTTCAATATTATCGATACACTTACTAATACAATGTTTTTGCATGAAAATGAAACTAAAAGATATTTACAGCTGTCAGAGAAGCAGTATTAACGCATTAGTTCTAAGTATTTCGGTTAGTTTAGAACTCAGCGTCAACATAATTGTTCACCATATGTTCAAGCCTTTATGGTTAATCTCTGTCACATTCTCCTCCACAGTAACATAATGATGTACATTGTATTCCAGCATGTACACATTTACAACGTCCTGAACATCCCTTTTCACTTTTGCATCCGCACTTGAGAAGCTCTTGACAACTTTTTGAGGCTTGAGGGGCGTTCAAGCGTTCAATGACTGGCATTACCTCATGGTTAACGATGATGGGTAATCGCTTAGTCTTGCAAATGCTCCCGTTGCATCGCTGTGAATTCTCCATGTTTCCCAAGCAGTCTTCTTTCCCTTGCTGATGTTTGGTCGCAGCCTGTAAAAGCATGAAATGCTAGGAGTGCTCTTGACGTTTAGGGTCCCATGGAACGTGCAATCTCATGCACAGGCAAGTATCGTAAGTGCTTTCCAGCCCCAAACGCTACCCATAATTCAGACGAAGACATCAGATGAAAATGTGCGACTGCTATCACAACAACATCCGTATCAATTGTACGCACCATCACCGTTGTGAATCCTCGCTTCGATGCATCGGCGGCGTGCAACAACAATCAGCCTCTTCTTGTTGACAGGGAGATAGATCGGCAAGAACTCTTTCTGTATTGCAGATTACCATGTCTTCTTTTGTTGATATAACCTCTCCGTTCTCAGCTCCAATCGTAATTGCCTGGTCTGCAAGGTAGCTGAAAAGTTCCTTCTTGTTGTCTGCTACTCTAAGAAAGGTTTGCCAGTTTCCAGGAATTTTGCTATCAGCTTGAGCACGTCTACGTACTCCCTTACCTCGCTTCTCTCTTGTAGCGGTCTTAAGGCTGTGCTGGAAATATCTGTCCCAAATAACATCCACTCGTCTGGCGACTTGGAGTTGGCTACTCACGTATGGGATGGAAACCTTTCGACTGTATTCTTCAAAAATTCGTGATGCCCCGGGCTTTAGCATGTTAACAATAGCTGCACCATCCAATAGAACGACGTCAACAGATATTTTTACTGATTGTGCATTGCTAATCGTTTCGAGACATGGCAACAAATCTGATTTGGTTCCTGATCGCATCGTTCCAAATTGGGATAACGAAGGAGGATAACTTTGATTCTCGTGAGAGAAAAAGGTTTCCATATCTCCATCACGAACTTGACAAGAAACATAGAGACGTTAAAATAGCGCACAGTTTTGCTTGAGTGAAGCGATCTGAAGCTTGTCTTTGGACTTCTTTGTCAGGCGAATAGGAGAAGTGAAAAGTGGTAACTTGTTTTTCTTTATTGGCTTAAAGAGTGAGATTCTTTTATCAAGCCTGTCGGTAACAAATTGCTCATATTGCTCTTTACCAATAGCTTCTATTTTACGAACAGTCTCTATGACACTAGTATCCACCAAATTTCGCGTGTCTAGAACAAGTAAATCCTCGCTCTCTTCTAAGAAAGGGTTTCCCATTTCTTCAATCGAGTTGTACATATCTTTGACCTGTTTGCTAAAGGTTGACTGGACTCCTTTTACTTGCTCATGATGACGAACATCCGGTCCTTTACTTTGAAAATCTTTCAGCGATTCTACTGCAGACTCGAAATCGTTGATTATTCTTGCCAGTTCTGGACCCGAAACCATCCAGCGTAGCAATTTATTCTCATTACTAGTCAGACCAACCGCACCAATATCACCTTTGACAATCTTGTTATTCTGTTCGTGTGCTTGATCAAGGGAAATTGCAGAAAAAGCACGGCGTGTTTTGTGTACCACAAAATTTCCGCTTTCGAACTTCTTTGCGACTGTGGGAAGTTCCTTGTCCAGCGTTTCCATATCACGGATGTGAACGGGGAGCCACCTTGAATAGTGGGTATGATCTAGAGCAAAAAAAAACACGGAGCGATGGCAGTTAGGGCATCTTTGTACAATTGAAAGTTTCCTTCGCGTATGGAACGCACGAATATAAGAACTGTCAGCTGTAGTCGAAGCGTGAGCGACCAGAAGTGGAAATGTGGACTGTCGATTTCTCTACGAGCACGCCAGTTGGAAAACTCGAGCGGTTTTACCGTTATGATGTCAGAAACACTTTCATTTGCTCCTTATGAATTACGAATAGTCTGCCTAGCAAAATTCTTGACTGATTCTGTTTTAGAAGACACGGTACAGTTTTAAAAAGTGCGACGGAGCCCTCATTGCTGCAACTGTAGGCTTAAAAGGTTAAATGACTTTTAAGCACAAAAATGCAAGCATATGCTTACTTTGCCCATAAAGCCAAGCACGTAGGCCTAGCTGAGTTTCTGACATGGGCATATTTATTTTTCCTATGGAAAAAATAATCGTTTAACACAATTCTTTGTTTCCTAGACTGACTGTGTCACAGTACATTCCTACTACTGCAAATCATTTTGGTAAGTTTTGTATCAATAGTGGGATAGTATATGTTCAGTATGGCAGGGTGTTTTTCATTCTTAGTTGACTATTTTGTATATCAGTAGAGGGATAGGATGTTCTTTAGGCAGGGTGGATCTTTCTCATTTTTTTTACTTTATCTTTGCATCAGTTATGAGATGGGATTATTAGCGTTGAATGATTATTGATCAGAATTTATTGAAGTCCCCACAAGAGATTACCCATGTTTAGTACACACATTCACACAATGAGTCACAATGTGTGCAGTATGCAGTCCTATTGGGAGGACTTGTACAAGAAGTCTCACACTGTGGGGAGACTGCTAGCTCAGGTCTCTTAATGATTTGTGTCACCATAGTATTGCTGGCTGAAGTTGATCTTTTTCAAGTTTATCTTGTCATCGGTAGAATATGGGATGTTTTTCCGGGTGGTATTACTAGCTGGGGATGCATGTGATTTCTTCACTATATCTCTGTATATGGGGGATGGCAGTTCAGCATGGTGGGTTGTCAAATCTTTGTCAATTTTATCTTCATATCAGTAATGGGATATGATGAAACGTTTCTCTTTCGTAATTGACTCGCTTTTGCAGCAGGATACAGTAGGGTGTTCATCATCCATTCTCAGTTGACCTTTTCATCAGTAGCTGAAAGGAATGTTTATCAGGGCGAGATTTGTTGACCCCATACTGTGAATACTAAGTTGGCTCTGATTTTTAGTACACATGTTTTTTGAAACCTTCTTTGAAACCTCGCAACTGACGATATTTTTGCATCAGTACTTTTTACATTAATAGCGGTAGTGATATGTTCATCATGGTGGGACGTTTAACTCTAAGTTAACAATATTTTGTATATATTTTGCATAGAGCTTAAAACAATTCTCTTTTCCTAGTTTGACTGTTTCATGCACAGAATGTTCATACTTCCACTGCAAAGAGTTGATTGGTGGTGAGTTTATTTTTTTTGTATGCTTGTTGTTACTCTAGGATATTTTTCACTCTTAGTTCACTATATCATTCTATCAATATCTAGACAGCATGTTTACCAGATTGGAATATTTTCAATTTTTTTGGTATCAGTAGTGGATATAATATTTTATATTTATCATGATGGGATGCTCTGTATGCATCAGTAGTAGGATGTTTATTGGGGCAGGATTAGTTGATTTGCAGTATCCAAGCATATAATAATGAGTTGGCTGTAGTTTTATTTAGTTATTGGGAGGGAATGTTTATTACAGTGGGTTGTTTTTCATTATTATTTGACTTTGTATCAATACCGTGACGGCATGTTTATTAGAATGGAATGACTTTTATTTTTAGATGATTTACTGTAATGTTTGCATCAGCTGCAGTGGTAGGGGATGTTTACTAGGGTGGAACTGATTTGTTGACTGTATCTATGTATATTATGATTTGGCTCTAATTTTGTATCAGTGGAAAGGAATGTTTATCAAAATTCAAATTTCTTTAGTCCCCACAATGCAATTACGTAAGTTCACTAAACACGCAGTGTAAAAATAAAGCATTGTGAGGACTTGTGCAAGAACTTTAACATTGTGGGGACTTACATACACTCAGGTCCCCATAAAGTCATTCCTACAAGGTTTCAACATATTTTTCAAAACAACAGCATAGGTGGCTTATTAGAGTGGGTTTTTTCTCATCAATATAGTTTTATTAATGGCTATTTATTAATGGAGTAGCAGAGTGGCATTTTTATACCAGGTGGGATTGTTGACAATATTCCTGTATGCTGAGTTGGCTCCAGTTTTGAATTAGTGGTGGGATTTGTTTACTGTATGTATCTTGTATCTAGGGTAAGATGTTATTCATTCATAGGTGGCATTATCTTTGCATCAGTGATTTGAGGAGATGCTTATAAGCTAGGGTTAAATTTGCTGACAATCTGTATGTCTATACTACATTGGCTCTTATTTTGCATCATTAGCGGGAATGGACATTGATCAAGATAGATGAAATTTGTTCACTCGATAATATCTTTGTGTGTTTCCAATTTTTATCACAGGCGAAATGTAATTTGTTGACTACATAAAGCTCTTTGTATATTAATATAGTGAGTTGACTTCAACTGGGAAGTTTTCTATTAATAGTTGATGTTATAATTGTATTGGTAGTAGCTCAGGTTAAATATTCCATCAAGTATCATCATGTAAAAGTGTGTAAAGCAATGTGAGGACTTGTGCAAGAATTCTCACATTGAGGGGACTTACATTTTTAATGATTTGTGTCAGCATAGTATTGGTGGTTCAGTTTAATCTTTCCATCAAGAATAGAATGGAATTTTTATCAAGGGAATGTTCTTCATGGGATTTGTTGACTTTCTGCATAATACATAATTCTAATTTTGTCTCACTAGTGGGAATTAAGAGATGTTCGTCAGGGGTGTGGGATACTTTCATTAATAGTTGACTTTATCTTTGAATCATAGCTGCAGCTGGGGATGTTTATCATTCTTAGTTCACTTTATCTCTGTATCAAAACATTTTTAATGTTTTGTCTCATCATAGTATCAGTGATGTGTTTAATTAAGTTTAAGTTTAATATAGTTTATATAGTTTTACGGAAACTTTTAAATTTAATACAGCATAGGCAATATATTTGCTATTTATGATTGAATAATATCTATTTTACTCCTAAAGTCTTTTTTGCTGCGATATTTTTTTAGTATGGAACATGTGAGAATCCCTTTGACGTACACTAACACATAAAAGACCACTATTAAGCAAACGTTGACGGAAAGATTTTTAATGATGCATTTGGTAAGTTTATTTTATTTTAATTAATAAACTCTACATTGTCACTGCTGTTACACTATGCAATTTTCTCGCAACTTTCAATGCAATTATAATTTTGAGGGATGTTTAATTTGTAAGAGTGTTCGAAATGTTAAAAAAACGTTAGCAGATCAAACGTCAGCGGATTTTATTTTCACTTTTCTTTCCCGGATTCTTGAACTTCAGCATGCGCTTTCTCTACAGTTGCAGTTTATATTGTCTTCAATCAAGACAGTTATACTTTTAGGTGCGATTGGTAACTCGATGATGGTATTAGGTCATCTTTGTTGGCTATACAGACTTTAGCTGCTCTAATCAAGGATGGTATTAAACAACTCCAGTTTCACAAACTTTTAGGGCACATCGCGCGATTTGTCATCTTTTAGAATCACAACATCCCAAACGATCTGTTGGATACTTTTAACGGTTCTCTTAATCTGCTGATCTTTTTTCGCCATTGATTCATAAATTGATTTACTGTCGTTTGATGTGGTGGTAATAGTAGCTACCAATTTGTACGAACATATAGATTAGTGATGAGGTGTTAACATGTTTGTCGTCGTACAAATAGGTTATAGGCGAAGTGACTTTATTCTTTTGTTTTTGAGCAATTTGTTCCAGATGGTTGCAGACTTGCAGTTAAGAGATCTCGATTAACACAGTCCGCATTTCTTTAAACAATAGTCGTGTTCGTCCTTATAGTATTTTTCTAAGACAAATTTTCGTGCTACCAATCATGCTTTTCAAAAATCTCCTTGCCAGGGCGCTTTCTCGATTATGAAAGTCCATGTAATTCTCTTGTTCATCGAATACTGTTTTGGATCTCCTCCGACCTGACGATCCTTTTCACGTCTTGAGCAGTGGATTTGACAACGACAACAGTCTTGCATATTAGCAGCCGCGCCATGCGGAAAATCTTGAAAAGCTTGCAAAAACGACTTGTATAGATAAATTAGGCACTAGCTCTAGGATCATGATCGTGTCAAAGAACAAGTCGAAAGACGGACGTGAGCCTTGGCTTTCTCTGATTCGGGTTGCCCTCGATTCGTAGCAAAAAGTGGTCCGGCGAAATCGACTCCTGTATTTGTGAATAGCGGAGTAGCTAACTCGTCAAGCTGGTGGGGTAGGGGCAGTTTGGGGAGTATTGAAACACATCCGTTCTAATTTCTTGCACTTTCTCTTCGCCCTCTAACTATCTAATACTCTCATAATTTTATTCAATTTCTCTGTGATTTCATTATGATAAACAACCCTATGATGATCGAAAATTACAAGATCCGTAAAGAGGTGTCTCGACGGAAGGAGTTTGGGCTGTTTCTCTGACAACGACAGAGACGATTTATCAATTTGACCACGAGAACGAATAACGTTGGCTGGGTTTCAAAACAACCCTAACTACTTGACCAACCGTAAGATATTCTTTGTTAAGATATCCCTCTTCCGCCACGTAAATGATCGATTTTATCCCAAGCATCAATGTTTAAACTGGTCCGCGGTAGGCTTCTGTGCTGTAGAAGGACACCTTATGTTGTAAATGAACTGCACACACGGTGTCACTCATAATAACTTTGTCTTGCTGCTGTAGCATTAACGTCGATCAAATCTTAACAATGTCACTTCTTGTCAATGCTCTCATAATTGAATACGGATTTGATTTCATCATTGCAGGATTTGATTTCGTCATTGCAGCATTTGCCCCGACATCTGAACCCCTAAGATCTGTATGTCCTGACACTGATGGCGATGTTTTCGAGAGGTACTTTAGGAATTCTCCTCTAGTCCACAATAGTGATTGGCCTCCCCGTTTTCTTTGTGCGGGGCAAAATTTCCACCTCTCTGACGGCGAGCTTTCGTATTTCATTTACGGGGTTCTGGACGTATACGAATCAGTGCATATGTAAATACGTTTCAGGAAACATCTGCATATACAAGTTAGCCTTCTGGACTGAGCTTATCAAACGAGCCAGAACGGTGGCCCCAAGGAGTTCAAGGGGGGGGGGGAGTTGATTAGCGTTTATTGGGCGTGACTCTGGTTTTTAAGGCTACCAAAGCGAGTTCGATTTTTCCATCTTACACAGTTTGTAAGTATCGATACATAGGGGTTTTTTGTTTGCGAGCGTCCGGTGATTTTGCAATCAAGAGATCATCCCAATTTGACCCGTCCATACATAAATCCTAAAAACATTTTTATCGGATAGTAAACGGAGCCAGCAGACCTAATTTAGTCCTGCAGATTGGTAGGAAAATTGTGGGTTTTTGGTTAAAAGCACAAAATTTTACATTTTTGCTAAACAAGACCTGTCAAAATAGATGCCATGTGGGCCCACTCATAAATTTCAATTGGGGACCATTTTTCGCATAAATTATAACTCTACATAAAAACGAAGGCTTAATCGAATTTTCACCATTTATGCTTTGTAAATGTGCGGATTCACATAATGATAGAGGAATGCTAGATATAGTTAACACATTTAGTGTGGTTATTTTCAATATTATCGATACACTTACTAATACAATGTTTTTTGCATGAAAATGAAACTAAAAGATATTTACAGCTGTCAGAGAAGCAGTATTAACGCATTAGTTCTAAGTATTTCGGTTAGTTTAGAACTCAGCGTCAACATAATTGTTCACCATATGTTCAAGCCTTTATGGTTAATCTCTGTCACATTTCTCCTCCACAGTAACATAATGATGTACATTGTATTCCAGCATGTACACATTTACAACGTCCTGAACATCCCTTTTCACTTTTGCATCCGCACTTGAGAAGCTCTTGACAACTTTTTGAGGCTTGAGGGGGCGTTCAAGCGTTCAATGACTGGCATTACCTCATGGTTAACGATGATGGGTAATCGCTTAGTCTTGCAAATGCTCCCGTTGCATCGCTGTGAATTCTCCATGTTTCCCAAGCAGTCTTCTTTCCCTTGCTGATGTTTGGTCGCAGCCTGTAAAAGCATGAAAATGCTAGGAGTGCTCTTGACGTTTAGGGTCCCATGGAACGTGCAATCTCATGCACAGGCAAGTATCGTAAGTGCTTTCCAGCCCCAAACGCTACCCATAATTCAGACGAAGACATCAATCAGATGAAAATGTGCGACTGCTATCACAACAACATCCGTATCAATTGTACGCACCATCACCGTTGTGAATCCTCGCTTCGATGCATCGGCGGCGTGCAACAACAATCAGCCTCTTCTTGTTGACAGGGAGATAGATCGGCAAGAACTCTTTCTGTATTGCAGATTACCATGTCTTCTTTTGTTGATATAACCTCTCCGTTCTCAGCTCCAATCGTAATTGCCTGGTCTGCAAGGTAGCTGAAAAGTTCCTTCTTGTTGTCTGCTACTCTAAGAAAGGTTTGCCAGTTTCCAGGAATTTTGCTATCAGCTTGAGCACGTCTACGTACTCCCTTACCTCGCTTCTCTCTTGTAGCGGTCTTAAGGCTGTGCTGGAAATATCTGTCCCAAATAACATCCACTCGTCTGGCGACTTGGAGTTGGCTACTCACGTATGGGATGGAAACCTTTCGACTGTATTCTTCAAAAATTCGTGATGCCCGGGCTTTAGCATGTTAACAATAGCTGCACCATCCAATAGAACGACGTCAACAGATATTTTTACTGATTGTGCATTGCTAATCGTTTCGAGACATGGCAACAAATCTGATTTGGTTCCTGATCGCATCGTTCCAAATTTGGGATAACGAAGGAGGTAACTTTGATCTCGTGAGAGAAAAAGGTTCATATCTCCATCACGAACTTGACAAGAACATAGAGACGTTAAAATAGCGCACAGTTTTGCTTGAGTGAAGCGATCTGAAGCTTGTCTTTGGACTTCTTTGTCAGGCGAATAGGAGAAGTGAAAAGTGGTAACTTGTTTTTCTTTATTGGCTTAAAGAGTGAGATTCTTTTATCAAGCCTGTCGGTACAAATTGCTCATATTGCTCTTTACCAATAGTTCTTTTTACGAACAGTCTCTATGACATAGTATCCACCAATTTCGCGTGTCTAGAACAAGTAAATCCTCGCTCTCTTCTAAGAAAGGGTTTCCCTTTCTTCAATCGAGTTGTACATATCTTTGACCTGTTTGCTAAAGGTTGACTGGACTCCTTTTACTTGCTCATGATGACGAACATCCGGTCCTTTACTTTGAAAATCTTTCAGCGATTCTACTGCAGACTCGAAATCGTTGATTATTCTTGCCAGTTCTGGACCCGAAACCATCCAGCGTAGCAATTTATTCTCATTACTAGTCAGACCAACCGCACCAATATCACCTTTGACAATCTTGTTATTCTGTTCGTGTGCTTGATCAAGGGAAATTGCAGAAAAAGCACGGCGTGTTTTGTGTACCACAAAATTTCCGCTTTCGAACTTCTTTGCGACTGTGGGAAGTTCCTTGTCCAGCGTTTCCATATCACGGATGTGGGGAGCCACCTTGAATAGTGGGTTGATCTAGAGCAAAAAAAACACGGAGCGATGGCAGTTAGGGCATCTTTGTACAATTGAAAGTTTCCTTCGCGTATGGAACGCACGAATATAAGAACTGTCAGCTGTAGTCGAAGCGTGAGCGACCAGAAGTGGAAATGTGGACTGTCGATTTCTCTACGAGCACGCCAGTTGGAAAACTCGAGCGGTTTTACCGTTATGATGTCAGAAACACTTTCATTTGCTCCTTATGAATTACGAATAGTCTGCCTAGCAAATTCTTGACTGATTCTGTTTTAGAAGACACGGTACAGTTTTAAAAAGTGCGACGGAGCCCTCATTGCTGCAATGTAGGCTTAAAAGGTTAAATGACTTTTAAGCACAAAAATGCAAGCATATGCTTACTTTGCCCATAAAGCCAAGCACGTAGGCCTAGCTGAGTTTCTGACATGGGCATATTTATTTTTCCTATGGAAAAAATATCGTTTAACACAATTCTTTGTTTCCTAGACTGACTGTGTCACAGTACATTCCTACTACTGCAAATCATTTTGGTAAGTTTTGTTCAATAGTGGGATAGTATATGTTCAGTATGGCAGGGTGTTTTTCATTCTTAGTTGACTATTTTGTATATCAGTAGAGGGATAGGATGTTCTTTAGGCAGGGTGGATCTTTCTCATTTTTTTTACTTTATCTTTGCATCAGTTATGAGATGGGATTATTAGCGTTGAATGTATTGATCAGAATTTATTGAAGTCCCCACAAGAGATTACCCATGTTTAGTACACACATTCACACAATGAGTCACAATGTGTGCAGTATGCAGTCCTATTGGGAGGACTTGTACAAGAAGTCTCACACTGTGGGGAGACTGCTAGCTCAGGTCTCTTAATGATTTGTGTCACCATAGTATTGCTGGCTGAAGTTGATCTTTTTCAAGTTTATCTTGTCATCGGTAGAATAATGGGATGTTTTTCCGGGTGGTATTACTAGCTGGGGATGCATGTGATTTCTTCACTATATCTCTGTATATGGGGGATGGCAGTTCAGCATGGTGGGTTGTCAAATCTTTGTCAATTTTATCTTCATATCAGTAATGGGATATGATGAAACGTTTCTCTTTCGTAATTGACTCGCTTTTGCAGCAGGATACAGTAGGGTGTTCATCATCCATTCTCAGTTGACCTTTTCATCAGTAGCTGAAAGGAATGTTTATCAGGGCGAGATTTGTTGACCCCATACTGTGAATACTAAGTTGGCTCTGATTTTTAGTACACATGTTTTTTGAAACCTTCTTTGAAACCTCGCAACTGACGTATTTTTGCATCAGTACTTTTTACATTAATAGCGGTAGTGATATGTTCATCATGGTGGGACGTTTAACTCTAAGTTAACAATATTTTGTATATATTTTGCATAGAGCTTAAAACAATTCTCTTTCCTAGTTTGACTGTTTCATGCACAGAATGTTCATACTTCCACTGCAAAGAGTTGATTGGTGGTGAGTTTATTTTTTTGTATGCTTGTTGTTACTCTAGGATATTTTTCACTCTTAGTTCACTATATCATTCTATCAATATCTAGCAGCATGTTTACCAGATTGGAATATTTTCAATTTTTTGTGGTATCAGTAGTGGATATATATTTTATATTTATCATGATGGGATGCTCTGTATGCATCAGTAGTAGGATGTTTATTGGGGCAGGATTAGTTGATTTGCAGTATCCAAGCATATAATAATGAGTTGGCTGTAGTTTTATTTAGTTATTGGGAGGGAATGTTTATTACAGTGGGTTGTTTTTCATTATTATTTGACTTTGTATCAATACCGTGACGGCATGTTTATTAGAATGGAATGACTTTTATTTTTAGATGATTTACTGTAATGTTTGCATCAGCTGCAGTGGTAGGGGATGTTTACTAGGGTGGAACTGATTTGTTGACTGTATCTATGTATATTATGATTTGGCTCTAATTTTGTATCAGTGGAAAGGAATGTTTATCAAAATTCAAATTTCTTTAGTCCCCACAATGCAATTACGTAAGTTCACTAAACACGCAGTGTAAAAAATAAAGCATTGTGAGGACTTGTGCAAGAACTTTAACATTGTGGGGACTTACATACACTCAGGTCCCCATAAAGTCATTCCTACAAGGTTTCAACATATTTTTCAAAACAACAGCATAGGTGGCTTATTAGAGTGGGTTTTTTCTCATCAATATAGTTTTATTAATGGCTATTTATTAATGGAGTAGCAGAGTGGCTTTTTATACCAAGGTGGGATTTGTTGACAATATTCCTGTATGCTGAGTTGGCTCCAGTTTTGAATTAGTGGGATTTGTTTACTGTATGTATCTTGTATCTAGGGTAAGATGTTATTCATTCATAGGTGGCATTATCTTTGCATCAGTGATTTGAGGAGATGCTTATAAGCTAGGGTTAAATTTGCTGACAATCTGTATGTCTATACTACATTGGCTCTTATTTTGCATCATTAGCGGGAATGGACATTGATCAAGATAGATGAAATTTGTTCACTCGATAATATCTTTGTGTGTTTCCAATTTTTATCACAGGCGAAATGTAATTTGTTGACTACATAAAGCTCTTTGTATATTAATATAGTGAGTTGACTTCAACTGGGAAGTTTTCTATTAATAGTTGATGTTATAATTGTATTGGTAGTAGCTCAGGTTAAATATTCCATCAAGTATCATCATGTAAAAGTGTGTAAAGCAATGTGAGGACTTGTGCAAGAATTCTCACATTGAGGGGACTTACATTTTTAATGATTTGTGTCAGCATAGTATTGGTGGTTCAGTTTAATCTTTCCATCAAGAATAGAATGGAATTTTTATCAAGGGGAATGTTCTTCATGGGATTTGTTGACTTTCTGCATAATACATAATTCTAATTTTGTCTCACTAGTGGGAATTAAGAGATGTTCGTCAGGGGTGTGGGATACTTTTCATTAATAGTTGACTTTATCTTTGAATCATAGCTGCAGCTGGGGATGTTTATCATTCTTAGTTCACTTTATCTCTGTATCAAAACATTTTTAATGTTTTGTCTCATCATAGTATCAGTGATGTGTTTAATTAAGTTTAAGTTTAATATAGTTTATATAGTTTTACGGAAACTTTTAAATTTAATACAGCATAGGCAATATATTTGCTATTTATGATTGAATAATATCTATTTTACTCCTAAAGTCTTTTTTGCTGCGATATTTTTTTTAGTATGGAACATGTGAGAAATCCCTTTGACGTACACTAACACATAAAAGACCACTATTAAGCAAACGTTGACGGAAAGATTTTTAATGATGCATTTGGTAAGTTTATTTTATTTTAATTAATAAACTCTACATTGTCACTGCTGTTACACTATGCAATTTTCTCGCAACTTTCAATGCAATTATTTTTGAGGGATGTTTAATTTGTAAGAGTGTTCGAAATGTTAAAAAAACGTTAGCAGATCAAACGTCAGCGGATTTTATTTTCACTTTTCTTTCTTTCCCGGATTCTTGAACTTCAGCATGCGCTTTCTCTACAGTTGCAGTTTATATTGTCTTCAATCAAGACAGTTATACTTTTAGGTGCGATTGGTAACTCGATGATGGTATTAGGTCATCTTTGTTGGCTATACAGACTTTAGCTGCTCTAATCAAGGGATGGTATTAAACAACTCCAGTTTCACAAACTTTTAGGGCACATCGCGCGATTTGTCATCTTTTAGAATCACAACATCCCAAACGATCTGTTGGATACTTTTAACGGTTCTCTTAATCTGCTGATCTTTTTTCGCCATTGATTCATAAATTGATTTACTGTCGTTTGATGTGGTGGTAATAGTAGCTACCAATTTGTACGAACATATAGATTAGTGATGAGGGTGTTAACATGTTTGTCGTCGTACAAATAGGTTATAGGCGAAGTGACTTTATTCTTTTGTTTTTGAGCAATTTGTTCCAGATGGTTGCAGACTTGCAGTTAAGAGATCTCGATTAACACAGTCCGCATTTCTTTAAACAATAGTCGTGTTCGTCCTTATAGTATTTTTCTAAGACAAATTTTCGTGCTACCAATCATGCTTTTCAAAAATCTCCTTGCCAGGGCGCTTTCTCGATTATGAAAGTCCATGTAATTCTCTTGTTCATCGAATACTGTTTTGGATCTCCTCCGACCTGACGATCCTTTTCACGTCTTGAGCAGTGGATTTGACAACGACAACAGTCTTGCATATTAGCAGCCGCGCCATGCGGAAAATCTTGAAAAGCTTGCAAAAACGACTTGTATAGATAAATTAGGCACTAGCTCTAGGATCATGATCGTGTCAAAGAACAAGTCGAAAGACGGACGTGAGCCTTGGCTTTCTCTGATTCGGGTTGCCCTCGATTCGTAGCAAAAAGTGGTCCGGCGAAATCGACTCCTGTATTTGTGAATAGCGGAGTAGCTAACTCGTCAAGCTGGTGGGGTAGGGGGCAGTTTGGGGAGTATTGAAACACATCCGTTCTAATTTCTTGCACTTTCTCTTCGCCCTCTAACTATCTAATACTCTCATAAATTTTATTCAATTTCTCTGTGATTTCATTATGATAAACAACCCTATGATGATCGAAAATTACAAGATCCGTAAAGAGGTGTCTCGACGGAAGGAGTTTGGGCTGTTTCTCTGACAACGACAGAGACGATTTATCAATTTGACCACGAGAACGAATAACGTTGGCTGGGTTTCAAAACAACCCTAACTACTTGACCAACCGTAAGATATTCTTTGTTAAGATATCCCTCTTCCGCCACGTAAATGATCGATTTTATCCCAAGCATCAATGTTTAAACTGGTCCGCGGTAGGCTTCTGTGCTGTAGAAGGACACCTTATGTTGTAAATGAACTGCACACACGGTGTCACTCATAATAACTTTGTCTTGCTGCTGTAGCATTAACGTCGATCAAATCTTAACAATGTCACTTCTTGTCAATGCTCTCAATTGAATACGGATTTGATTTCATCATTGCAGGATTTGATTTCGTCATTGCAGCATTTGCCCCGACATCTGAACCCCTAAGATCTGTATGTCCTGACACTGATGGCGATGTTTTCGAGAGGTACTTTAGGAATTCTCCTCTAGTCCACAATAGTGATTGGCCTCCCCGTTTTCTTTGTGCGGGGCAAAATTTCCACCTCTCTGACGGCGAGCTTTCGTATTTCATTTACGGGGTTCTGGACGTATACGAATCAGTGCATATGTAAATACGTTTCAGGAAACATCTGCATATACAAGTTAGCCTTCTGGACTGAGCTTATCAAACGAGCCAGAACGGTGGCCCCAAGGAGTTCAAGGGGGGGGGGGGAGTTGATTAGCGTTTATTGGGCGTGACTCTGGTTTTTAAGGCTACCAAAGCGAGTTCGATTTTTCCATCTTACACAGTTTGTAAGTATCGATACATAGGGGTTTTTTGTTTGCGAGCGTCCGGTGATTTTGCAATCAAGAGATCATCCCAATTTGACCCGTCCATACATAAATCCTAAAAACATTTTTATCGGATAGTAAACGGAGCCAGCAGACCTAATTTAGTCCTGCAGATTGGTAGGAAAATTGTGGGTTTTTGGTTAAAAGCACAAAATTTTACATTTTTGCTAAACAAGACCTGTCAAAATAGATGCCATGTGGGCCCACTCATAAATTTCAATTGGGGACCATTTTTCGCATAAATTATAACTCTACATAAAAACGAAGGCTTAATCGAATTTTCACCATTTATGCTTTGTAAATGTGCGGATTCACATAATGATAGAGGAATGCTAGATATATAGTTAACACATTTAGTGTGGTTATTTTCAATATTATCGATACACTTACTAATACAATGTTTTTGCATGAAAATGAAACTAAAAGATATTTACAGCTGTCAGAGAAGCAGTATTAACGCATTAGTTCTAAGTATTTCGGTTAGTTTAGAACTCAGCGTCAACATAATTGTTCACCATATGTTCAAGCCTTTATGGTTAATCTCTGTCACATTCTCCTCCACAGTAACATAATGATGTACATTGTATTCCAGCATGTACACATTTACAACGTCCTGAACATCCCTTTTCACTTTTGCATCCGCACTTGAGAAGCTCTTGACAACTTTTTGAGGCTTGAGGGGGCGTTCAAGCGTTCAATGACTGGCATTACCTCATGGTTAACGATGATGGGTAATCGCTTAGTCTTGCAAATGCTCCCGTTGCATCGCTGTGAATTCTCCATGTTTCCCAAGCAGTCTTCTTTCCCTTGCTGATGTTTGGTCGCAGCCTGTAAAAGCATGAAATGCTAGGAGTGCTCTTGACGTTTAGGGTCCCATGGAACGTGCAATCTCATGCACAGGCAAGTATCGTAAGTGCTTTCCAGCCCCAAACGCTACCCATAATTCAGACGAAGACATCAGATGAAAATGTGCGACTGCTATCACAACAACATCCGTATCAATTGTACGCACCATCACCGTTGTGAATCCTCGCTTCGATGCATCGGCGGCGTGCAACAACAATCAGCCTCTTCTTGTTGACAGGGAGATAGATCGGCAAGAACTCTTTCTGTATTGCAGATTACCATGTCTTCTTTTGTTGATATAACCTCTCCGTTCTCAGCTCCAATCGTAATTGCCTGGTCTGCAAGGTAGCTGAAAAGTTCCTTCTTGTTGTCTGCTACTCTAAGAAAGGTTTGCCAGTTTCCAGGAATTTTGCTATCAGCTTGAGCACGTCTACGTACTCCCTTACCTCGCTTCTCTCTTGTAGCGGTCTTAAGGCTGTGCTGGAAATATCTGTCCCAAATAACATCCACTCGTCTGGCGACTTGGAGTTGGCTACTCACGTATGGGATGGAAACCTTTCGACTGTATTCTTCAAAAATTCGTGATGCCCCGGGCTTTAGCATGTTAACAATAGCTGCACCATCCAATAGAACGACGTCAACAGATATTTTTACTGATTGTGCATTGCTAATCGTTTCGAGACATGGCAACAAATCTGATTTGGTTCCTGATCGCATCGTTCCAAATTGGGATAACGAAGGAGGATAACTTTGATTCTCGTGAGAGAAAAAGGTTTCCATATCTCCATCACGAACTTGACAAGAAACATAGAGACGTTAAAATAGCGCACAGTTTTGCTTGAGTGAAGCGATCTGAAGCTTGTCTTTGGACTTCTTTGTCAGGCGAATAGGAGAAGTGAAAAGTGGTAACTTGTTTTTCTTTATTGGCTTAAAGAGTGAGATTCTTTTATCAAGCCTGTCGGTAACAAATTGCTCATATTGCTCTTTACCAATAGCTTCTATTTTACGAACAGTCTCTATGACACTAGTATCCACCAAATTTCGCGTGTCTAGAACAAGTAAATCCTCGCTCTCTTCTAAGAAAGGGTTTCCCATTTCTTCAATCGAGTTGTACATATCTTTGACCTGTTTGCTAAAGGTTGACTGGACTCCTTTTACTTGCTCATGATGACGAACATCCGGTCCTTTACTTTGAAAATCTTTCAGCGATTCTACTGCAGACTCGAAATCGTTGATTATTCTTGCCAGTTCTGGACCCGAAACCATCCAGCGTAGCAATTTATTCTCATTACTAGTCAGACCAACCGCACCAATATCACCTTTGACAATCTTGTTATTCTGTTCGTGTGCTTGATCAAGGGAAATTGCAGAAAAAGCACGGCGTGTTTTGTGTACCACAAAATTTCCGCTTTCGAACTTCTTTGCGACTGTGGGAAGTTCCTTGTCCAGCGTTTCCATATCACGGATGTGAACGGGGAGCCACCTTGAATAGTGGGTATGATCTAGAGCAAAAAAAACACGGAGCGATGGCAGTTAGGGCATCTTTGTACAATTGAAAGTTTCCTTCGCGTATGGAACGCACGAATATAAGAACTGTCAGCTGTAGTCGAAGCGTGAGCGACCAGAAGTGGAAATTGGACTGTCGATTTCTCTACGAGCACGCCAGTTGGAAAACTCGAGCGGTTTTACCGTTATGATGTCAGAAACACTTTCATTTGCTCCTTATGAATTACGAATAGTCTGCCTAGCAAAATTCTTGACTGATTCTGTTTTAGAAGACACGGTACAGTTTTAAAAAGTGCGACGGAGCCCTCATTGCTGCAACTGTAGGCTTAAAAGGTTAAATGACTTTTAAGCACAAAAATGCAAGCATATGCTTACTTTGCCCATAAAGCCAAGCACGTAGGCCTAGCTGAGTTTCTGACATGGGCATATTTATTTTTCCTATGGAAAAAATAATCGTTTAACACAATTCTTTGTTTCCTAGACTGACTGTGTCACAGTACATTCCTACTACTGCAAATCATTTTGGTAAGTTTTGTATCAATAGTGGGATAGTATATGTTCAGTATGGCAGGGTGTTTTTCATTCTTAGTTGACTATTTTGTATATCAGTAGAGGGATAGGATGTTCTTTAGGCAGGGTGGATCTTTCTCATTTTTTTTACTTTATCTTTGCATCAGTTATGAGATGGGATTATTAGCGTTGAATGATTATTGATCAGAATTTATTGAAGTCCCCACAAGAGATTACCCATGTTTAGTACACACATTCACACAATGAGTCACAATGTGTGCAGTATGCAGTCCTATTGGGAGGACTTGTACAAGAAGTCTCACACTGTGGGGAGACTGCTAGCTCAGGTCTCTTAATGATTTGTGTCACCATAGTATTGCTGGCTGAAGTTGATCTTTTTCAAGTTTATCTTGTCATCGGTAGAATAATGGGATGTTTTTCCGGGTGGTATTACTAGCTGGGGATGCATGTGATTTCTTCACTATATCTCTGTATATGGGGGATGGCAGTTCAGCATGGTGGGTTGTCAAATCTTTGTCAATTTTATCTTCATATCAGTAATGGGATATGATGAAACGTTTCTCTTTCGTAATTGACTCGCTTTTGCAGCAGGATACAGTAGGGTGTTCATCATCCATTCTCAGTTGACCTTTTCATCAGTAGCTGAAAGGAATGTTTATCAGGGCGAGATTTGTTGACCCCATACTGTGAATACTAAGTTGGCTCTGATTTTTAGTACACATGTTTTTTGAAACCTTCTTTGAAACCTCGCAACTGACGATATTTTTGCATCAGTACTTTTTACATTAATAGCGGTAGTGATATGTTCATCATGGTGGGACGTTTAACTCTAAGTTAACAATATTTTGTATATATTTTGCATAGAGCTTAAAACAATTCTCTTTTCCTAGTTTGACTGTTTCATGCACAGAATGTTCATACTTCCACTGCAAAGAGTTGATTGGTGGTGAGTTTATTTTTTTTGTATGCTTGTTGTTACTCTAGGATATTTTTCACTCTTAGTTCACTATATCATTCTATCAATATCTAGACAGCATGTTTACCAGATTGGAATATTTTCAATTTTTTGTGGTATCAGTAGTGGATATAATATTTTATATTTATCATGATGGGATGCTCTGTATGCATCAGTAGTAGGATGTTTATTGGGGCAGGATTAGTTGATTTGCAGTATCCAAGCATATAATAATGAGTTGGCTGTAGTTTTATTTAGTTATTGGGAGGGAATGTTTATTACAGTGGGTTGTTTTTCATTATTATTTGACTTTGTATCAATACCGTGACGGCATGTTTATTAGAATGGAATGACTTTTATTTTTAGATGATTTACTGTAATGTTTGCATCAGCTGCAGTGGTAGGGGATGTTTACTAGGGTGGAACTGATTTGTTGACTGTATCTATGTATATTATGATTTGGCTCTAATTTTGTATCAGTGGAAAGGAATGTTTATCAAAATTCAAATTTCTTTAGTCCCCACAATGCAATTACGTAAGTTCACTAAACACGCAGTGTAAAAAATAAAGCATTGTGAGGACTTGTGCAAGAACTTTAACATTGTGGGGACTTACATACACTCAGGTCCCATAAAGTCATTCCTACAAGGTTTCAACATATTTTTCAAAACAACAGCATAGGTGGCTTATTAGAGTGGGTTTTTTCTCATCAATATAGTTTTATTAATGGCTATTTATTAATGGAGTAGCAGAGTGGCATTTTTATACCAAGGTGGGATTTGTTGACAATATTCCTGTATGCTGAGTTGGCTCCAGTTTTGAATTAGTGGTGGGATTTGTTTACTGTATGTATCTTGTATCTAGGGTAAGATGTTATTCATTCATAGGTGGCATTATCTTTGCATCAGTGATTTGAGGAGATGCTTATAAGCTAGGGTTAAATTTGCTGACAATCTGTATGTCTATACTACATTGGCTCTTATTTTGCATCATTAGCGGGAATGGACATTGATCAAGATAGATGAAATTTGTTCACTCGATAATATCTTTGTGTGTTTCCAATTTTTATCACAGGCGAAATGTAATTTGTTGACTACATAAAGCTCTTTGTATATTAATATAGTGAGTTGACTTCAACTGGGAAGTTTTCTATTAATAGTTGATGTTATAATTGTATTGGTAGTAGCTCAGGTTAAATATTCCATCAAGTATCATCATGTAAAAGTGTGTAAAGCAATGTGAGGACTTGTGCAAGAATTCTCACATTGAGGGGACTTACATTTTTAATGATTTGTGTCAGCATAGTATTGGTGGTTCAGTTTAATCTTTCCATCAATAATAGAATGGAATTTTTATCAAGGGGAATGTTCTTCATGGGATTTGTTGACTTTCTGCATAATACATAATTCTAATTTTGTCTCACTAGTGGGAATTAAGAGATGTTCGTCAGGGGTGTGGGATACTTTTCATTAATAGTTGACTTTATCTTTGAATCATAGCTGCAGCTGGGGATGTTTATCATTCTTAGTTCACTTTATCTCTGTATCAAAACATTTTTAATGTTTTGTCTCATCATAGTATCAGTGATGTGTTTAATTAAGTTTAAGTTTAATATAGTTTATATAGTTTTACGGAAACTTTTAAATTTAATACAGCATAGGCAATATATTTGCTATTTATGATTGAATAATATCTATTTTACTCCTAAAGTCTTTTTTGCTGCGATATTTTTTTTAGTATGGAACATGTGAGAAATCCCTTTGACGTACACTAACACATAAAAGACCACTATTAAGCAAACGTTGACGGAGAGATTTTTATGATGCATTTGGTAAGTTTATTTTATTTTAATTAATAAACTCTACATTGTCACTGCTGTTATACTATGCAATTTTCTCGCAACTTGCAAACTTCTAATAATTTCCAATAAATCGTCTATTACCCAGCGATTTAGCACAGCGATTATTTGCTGCGTCTTTGCAAAGCGTTTCTGCAAAGTGTGATCCGCTGCTTTTTAATTGTTTTCGGTAATGGCAAGCCCCTTAATTGCGCGAATTGTCTAATAAAGAAAATAAGTAATTAAACTTGCAAAATCGTTGTAAGTTCTTTGTTGTTATGGCCTGCATTTTCGAAAGCCCCACAAAATGTACGATTAATTCGTAACAACACCTTGAAGTGTATACAAAGGCAGTTTTGAGGTAGAAAAGAATAGCGTTTTTCTTTGAGTCAAATTTGCGATGAATTTGATGGCAATTGGCTGGTATATATATATACGTCTTCACATCCTCTGTCAATTCTTAGTTACTCACTAAAGTCATCAGGTACTCTTGCGCTAGCTCTTTCAATCACATCAGAAAGTTTCTTATCCTTAGTATCCGAGTCACTTACTCTTTTCGGATGGGATTACATATCTACAGCAGATTACTTCATGGCTGACGAGTGCGTAAATTCTTATTTAGTTACGAATCAGTGTGACGAACGAGTGTACTTAGCGATCCTTTAAAGAGGAAATAATAACGGGCGACATCAAATTTCGTCACTCTCGCGCGATTCGTGAGTGGTATTTTATAATTTGAATTATGCCAGTAAAAATATAACTCGAAGTCTCGAACTAGGTTAAAGTATCTATATCACTTGTGGGATCTTTACGGATTTGAATAGAGCTTGAAAAATTAGTTTATAACTTTTACAACCCTTTTTGATTTGGTTAAATAGTTTCGGAAATATTTACATCTAAACATGACGATTTGCCTAAATTTCCGTCGTGCTCGGGGGCCTAGGACTCAGGAACCGAGTTCTTGTCAAACCATCCTCGTCCCCAGGGCCTAGCTCCGTTGCTGTCCACATAGGCCCTGGGATACGCTGTTGAATTTGCTGTAAGAATGCAAATGCTGTATTGATGAAACCTTGCTTCAAGAAGCTATAAATTTTTCACTAACCAAGACTAATAATTCTAACATAACATTAAAAAAGGAACAGAAAGACGCTATTCGTCATATTATTAATGGCAGAGATGTAATCGCCGTCCTGCCGACGGTGATCGGATTTGGAAAATCTCTGATATAGTATACCAACTTTTGCCACCTTTATTGGACTTTGTCAAAGCGAAAAGAAGCAATGTTTCTGCCGTATTGCCGGAAACAATCGTTATCGTAATTTCCCCATTAAATGCTGTTATGGGTGTAAAGGCAGGTGCAAATTCAGTTAGGGATTACTGAGTGGGTAATGGTCTTATAATAGGACCTGAACATATACTAGCAGTGCCAAGATAAGTCATCACTAATGATCCTCAGTGCCAAGATAAGTCATCACTAATGATCCTCAGCAAGGATTGTTGTCATGCTTTGAAAAACATTATTTCAATTATTCAGGTAAAAAGAGCCAACTCCCAACAGTACAATATTATTTTAGTTTTATAAATGCTTTGCGAAATCCAAAATTCATATATAATATAAAAATATGGCAATCCTTCATGTATCCTAATACATTAGACCATAGACTATCGAAGTCTGTGATTCCTTTCGATATGGTTATAGGCTAACAGTATACTATACTTGGCGTGCATACTGCTACAATCCCCAATCAAATCCATTCTTGTACATGAATTTTTTTTATTAATGGCATTATTAAAACAGAGTTTGTGTAGGAGAACCTGTCTAACAAAAAAACTGTTATGGTATTGCCTTTGTTGGTTAAATAAAGAAAATGACACTAGTAAATGAGCCAAAAAAAAAGTGGTATCAGAGCTGAAACAGGTCAATTGAACCATGATTTTTGGTTTTCTGGAGAAATAGCTGTTTTACATACTTTCCCTCAACCAGTATATACTATCCATATTATTACCTGAAATTGTGGCAAAAGATCTTGAAACTTCTATTATATATGGTAAACTAATTAGGGTTAATTTATCAAACACAAGGTAATGCCCAATGCTTGGTATCACAAGCAAATTCAAATTGCATGACTTATAACATACAGCAGACTTGTAGCAACAGGCCTGTATGGAGGATTTTGAGCTAGGGGAGGGAGGTACAGTAGTGATGTTCCATGTGTAGGGAAAAGAGCAATTTGAGGAAAAAGAGCAACATGGCACAGTTCAAAATTCATAAGTTGAACATACTCTAGGCGGCAGTTGCCCCCTTGCACCCCTGCTGCATTTGGCCCTGTGTAGCAATGTTCCAACAAATTATTAACAGGATATACACAAATTGTCTGTTCCCAGCTCATCAACTGACAAGTTTTACAGGTCTGCAGCAAGGTTGTTCTCACAACTTATCATCCTCATGCAATTCAACAACTTGTTAACATGTTTCCTGAAACTACTTGACAAATTAAATCTTTCTGGAAGTTGTGAGATTAGGGTTTGACTGATGCATTATTTTAATAATGTACAATAGTTATTAGTATCAATAGTTAAATATTTTAAATTGTCTACAATATAACTGATTGTTTATATGTAGTGGTAATTGAAATTTAAAGAGTTTTATACAACAGGTCCCTGAACTATTATATATTTGATGTTGACAGAATCTGTTTGTCCTTTATATATATATATATATATTTTTGAAACTATATTGAAACTAATATATTATATATATATATATATATATATATATATATATATATATATATATATATATATATATATATATTAAATATATAAGTTTCAATATAGTTTCAAAAAACGTCGTTTATAGATATGAACAAAAATATTTTCTGTAATGGACCAAGAGCGTCGTAAATGGTAATAAACATTGTCAATGAGAATAAATGTGTTGTATTTAGCAGTTGTTGAGACGATCAGCTTGTCGGACTAGCATAAAATTCGTCGTTGATTGGCGATTTCACCGCCGAAATTAATCAAATCAATGAAATAATTTGGCGTTGACTTCGATAGCTGTTTTATGGCATGTTTAACCTTGTGGTTTCTTTCTTTTAGGTTCAAAATTAATAACATACGACTTTTTCCAGTTCCTAAGAATGTCTTTTAAATAAATGTAATTCGTCTTGCGCTTTTACACCCCAGTTCGCTGTTTTATACATTGGATTCTAAAGAGCATGTAAAAGGCCCGCTCTTTACCAGCCGCCATGTTTGTTGTTCAGTGACCTGCAATAAAATTATCGCCCGCAAAATTCTTTTAGTGTAAAAGAGCCAATCACGATGAAGGGATCAACCAGCGTATCCCAGGGCCTATGTGGAGAGCAACGGAGCTTGGCCCTGGGGACGAGGATTTTGTCAAACATAATATAATCAATTGTAATTTTTCTTCGATCTGCCAATATTGTAATAAATTTTGAGAAAAACTCGCCCAGTTGCTAAACTTTTTAATTATATCAAAAAAGGTTGTAAAACTAATAAACAAATTTTTCAAGCCCTATTCAAATCCGTAAAGATCCCACAAGTGATATAGGCACTTTAAACATTACCCTCAATCAAACAGGAAATCACTCAAAGTACTCAAATCTCGTTTGTCGCGATATTCTCATTATTATATTATATTTTTAGTTGCTGATGTGAAGCGGGCGCGATTCTCTGAGTTTAGTCTCTTCTCTTCGTCAAACAACTGTGACTACTGACTATATGAACTGCATGTATATGATGACAACAATTTATCCGTCATTTCAAAAGAATAGCGAGAATAGTTGCGTTGTAAATAATGTAAATAAACACCACTGCACAGTGGTTGAATAAACCGCGGTGCATATTATGTCTATGATGTGGATACTTCGACGCGTAAATCGATACAAAGCAATATACTTATAATCGTATCAATACTGTATACCGCCAAAATGATTTGATTACTGCCCAAAATTCAGGAAGCTTTATTTATTCGTTTAAGAAAAACTTTGTCAGAATTAACCATTCTGTCTAAAAAAGACTAACCTTTTAAAATCATTAAAAATTACCATGGTTATACATTCAAGTCCCCACAATGTTTACACAAACGTCGCATGGTCCCCACAATGATTACACTCAAATTTTCAAGTCCCCACAACGTTTACACTATGAAGTCCCCATAACGCATGGTTTATGAAATTTTACACAGGTCCCCACAATGCAGAGAAAACTCACGCCATCGGAGGTCCCCACAACGCCACCTGCGTATGTATAGATGAACTTACGTCTAACAAGTTGATTTAACACACCTAGCTATTTACATAATTATTCTGGATTTAGGAGCCTGTAGAATATTTATATATTTTAATTCAAGTTTACGTCGAATAGTAGCTTATACTGTAACAGTTAAGAATATTCGTCTTACAAATTGACCGTATTCATGTTTTTACTCCACGGATGTAGTTTCCTATTATTGCCCGTTACTTGGACACACATGTTTCTGCTATTAAAACTAAAGGCTCATGCAGTAAACATTTACAAACATTTTTAGTGCGTAACATTTTTCCTATAAATTTCAGGTTCATTTGATAAGCAAATAATTTTTCAAATTATTCCGGACGGAGGGAAATTGACCTACCTCCCCATTTTTACCTCCGATAATTTCGAGTAACATGCGAAGAATGCTAGATCTGCCCCTGCGTGTGAGAGCGAGGAAATTCTTGTTTTTCGATGGATGATTTATTGTAACGTCCGTTGGGTAAACTCCGGCCCTACCAGAAAAGCGAATTCGGTAGGTATCCTTACATTAACATTTATCTGAATGTATGAATTAACTTACCATCAGGTTGTCGATCTTTGTCTACGACGAGGAGATTTATCACCATGAAGTCTTTTCCTAATGGAATATAACGAGCTATATTTCTGCTGGTGACATTAATTTTTAGGACAACGCGTAAAACCATTTCTTTCCAGTAAAGAAAATCTCCAATAACGTCCACTGACACAGTCTCGTCAAGCTTATATAAATCGAAAGTAGTTGTCTGAGTAATGTTACGGCCATCGTAATCCATTTCAATAATTACAAATCTTCCCCGTTCTTCGAAGGCGTATACTCGCTTCCTGTTGTAATCCAGAGTCAAACGGTAATCATTATCTTTGTTTAACCTATATATTTTTTTGTCATTGTTGGTCGCCAGGTGTCTTCGCATTAGCTTTTCTGCAGCATAATCGATCCAAAATAGATATCTACAGTCAACAACGATACAGAATTATAATTATTTTTGAAACAGTCAAAAGTTTACAGTTAGCTGAGGCCCCAGTTACACGATACCGGATTACTAGAGCACCGGATTACTTTCCATATCAGATAGGCGTTGCAGTTACACGAGGATGTATCAATCCGGTACGCTCCACGGAATGAAAATCATATCGCTCTGGAGGTGACATGAAAAATGATCCGGTACATTTCTGTTTCCGTGTAATCGCTCTAATCCGGCATATAATATGTTTGGCAGGAAAAATAAATGGACGTCAAACTCTTGCAAAGGTTGCTGTTTTCGTTGATAATTACACTTTCTGGCTTATTCCAGTTAAATTGTATATTGTTTCATATCAATACACTTCGATATTTTTCAAGAAAAAGACGACAACTTCAACAATGTGTGTTAGACAATAATTACGGCACAGTTTCGTTACGAAAAATTAGGAAGCCGAGGAAATCCTGGACGTCTCCAGGTCGATGTAAAAGATGGTGGGAAAACTTACGGGATGGTTACAGCCAGGCAAAAGAATGGAAAGAAAATTTGAGAATGTCAAGAGTGACTTTTTACAAGTTGTGTGACGTACTCCGTCCATATGTCACAAGAAAAGCAACCAATATGATAGCACCGGTATTGCACCGGAGTTGAAACGCAAGTTGCGGTCACCTTATATTACTTGTCGGACAGTGGTCGAATGAGGAAAACAGCAAATGCTTTTGGGATCGCAAGTTGCACTGTTTCTCAAATAGTACGGCGGGTAACAAGGGCGATATAAACAAAGCTATCTCATAAGTACATAAAGGTTCCCAAAATGGAAGAAGAAGTCAATAAATTAATCGCAAGTTTTTATTCTGCTGGAGATTTCCCCCAGTGCATAGGTGCCATAGATGGGACGCATATCCCAATAAAGAAACCGAAAAGTAACGCTGTTTACTATATTAACAGAAAAGGCTTCCACAGTTTAAATGTGCAAGCATGTGTTGATGCAAATTGCCTTTTCTTTCACGTTAACATTAAATGGCCGGGAAGTGTGCATGATGCACGAGTATTTGCCAATTCCAACATCAATCAACTCAGAGATGGGGTGATACCAAGATGTCCAAAAGTTATAGTCGAAGGAGAAGACCCTGTACCTGTGTGTATCATTGGAGATCCAGCATACCCTTTATTACCTTATCTGATAAAATAATTTGCAAAAGGTGGAAGTACAGTGCAAGAGCAGTTCTTTGGCAATAGACTATCATCAGCTAGAATGATAATCGAATGCGCATTTGGGCAACTAAAGACACGTTTTGGTATCCTTTCGAAAGCAATGGATCTCAGCATGGATAATATTCCTTCCACTGTTCTATCCTGTTTCACTCTTCACAATTTTTGTGAGGTAAATGGCGAAAGTATTTAAGATGACTTACAAAGTCAAGCTATGCAGTATTACAGGGAGTACCTATACATAACAATACACAAGGTGGCAAGAAAAATCGTAAATTATTTATGATGTTTCTTGAGTGAAAAGCTTGTACAGAGTCATTATAGGAACTTTTAGTAGACATGTCATGTGAATGACATCTTTTTCACAAATTTGTTCCGATAAAATTCTCAAATGTTTTTATGTCAATGAAATATAATAAATCATACGAATGTTGTACAGAAATTTAATTATCATGACATCTTTTTCAAAAATTTGTTGTAATATTTTTAAATTTTTAATGTTAATGAAATATAATAAATCATGTGAATGTTGTAAAGAAATTAAATTATCAATCAAATCAAAACACACTGAGATGAACTTTTAAAAATGGAAATTTGTTTTAACTTTGTAACAACACATTTTATATTATTACACACTCTTTAAACTTCCAATCAACTAGTCAAGAACAACAGAGTAAAGCAAAAATTACATGATAACAAAGCACAAAGCAAAAAAAACAATGTACTGTGATAGTTTGTTCTACTTTGGAATGTCCTTAGGTGCCATTGGAATATTAGAGACCATATTTGATTGCTGCTGTTGCATGTCTCGCTGAAGTACAAAGGGAAACACCTGTTGCTCATTTGCTTGCATTTGGATTATTGTATTCATCATTTGTAGACATCCTTGCATTGCACCAGCCATGGTTTCCATAGTTTTGGACATTTTTACTGCATGGGCAAGGTATTCCTTATCAGTTAATTCAGACTGCTCTGCAACTTTTCTTTTCAGCACCAAATCTTCTTTCATGACCTGTAATTGCTGACTTTGCACAGGAATCTTGTGATTCATTTTTGCTTCTCTCTCTCCTTTCAAAAACTTCTGAATTTTTTCTCGTCTTTCATTTTGTGTTTTTGGCCTCAAATCTTCATCTTCAATAACCATGTCATTCTCAGCGAAATCTGGCTCATTCACCGAGATGGGACTTGATGGCTCAATATTTTCAATTACACTTGTGTCAATCCCACCTTTCATAATAATCACAATGTACGATCAGGAAGGGACCTTCAATACTCTTCGTAGCAGGTGCTCCTACCCATATGTCTTGGCAAACATCGTAAAAAGTCATAACGACCCTTCCACCACCTTTTCGCTTTCCTTTATTCATTGCATTTTTGTAATTTTTCCTTGTACATTAAAGCTTAGCGGCAATTCTGTCTTTTGTAAACGTGTCTAGGCATTGTGATTTCGGATACTCCTCCGCAACACTTCCTTGTGGGCTTTTTGGATAACGTTCGGCAAATAGTTGACGTATTTTATCACATTTTGTTTTAACACTTTCCCAGTCTTTTCTTTTAAACGAACAGTTTGAAAAAAAAACCTTTACCGATTCCAAAAGAAGTTCTATTTAACTGTCTGTCCACGAGAGTATTTCTTTTGGACTTTTGGCTCGCACTTCGTTGTCCGCCATTTTGTTTGTATTTTGAATCAATCCGTTATCGTGTAATCAAGACAAATCCGATACCATATGTATATCGAATCAACGTAGATAATCCGATACGAAAACTAATCCGGTATCGTGTAACTGGGGCCTGAGTCTAATGAGCTTCGAGTCACTGATTGGCCCTCGAGAAAACATTGCAGATTTTACGCCAAGATCTCGGAACATTTGAACTGGTGCACCCAGTAGGTGGGTAGATTTGATTCCGCCCACCGGTGCCCTTGTGCAGATTGCGGGCTTTTTTCTACTTTTTCGCCTCAAACCTCAATTTGGATTCCACTAGCTAACACGCACCGAAGGATTTATATCCTTATTAACAAACGAAACTTACGTTAATGGGTCACTGTCCCGATTCGTTACGGTAAAATCTCGAGCTCGCATTGTTTGAACGTTTAGTGTGATACACTCACAAACGAAAATAAGTTTGCAGTTCTGTTTTGCATAAGTTCTTTCAACGCAAGTTGAATGCTTAAAAGAGCAGTATGACGCGTGCGCATATTTTATGCGCATTTATAAAACTTGATTTAACAGGCTGTTTTTTAAAGTTTATCAAACGTAAAATGGCGGCTACTCAGGGGGAAAGCATAGTGGCAAACGCGATAATTCATGTAGAAAAAGAATGTTTGAGGGCGCAGAAAGTTTTAGTAGCCAAAATAAACGCATTTATTTGTCGTTAAGTGTATTTTCAGCTTGGCGAGAAGCGAATAACGATGCCGGTTACAACAAATATTGTGACAGCGATCTCGCTGCGCATTTGTTGTCCTTGGAGTATCGCAGAAGATGAAATTTCGTTCATCTATCTCATAAATCATCATCTTATGGCTACGTATGTTATATTTAAAGTTTGACTTTGTAATTTTTGCATTTTAAAGAATGCAAAAAATGCCGACTTTCTACAATGATCATTGCAAGTTTGTTGTTAAATAAGTAGAAAACTCATTGGATTTTTTTCAACAGACTGTATGTCTGCTTTCTTTCTACTTTCATAGATTGAAAATATCTATGTTTTCTGACGATGAGTTGCATTCAGACCATACTGGTGATGATTGGGATGTTAGGGATTTTATGTCGAACAGCATTTCGCTCTCGGGCATTTTGGTACAAGAGTTGAA